TGTGAGAAAGTTTATAATGAGATCTCTGATGTTCTTTGAGATCAGATTTTTTAATATATATCTAAAAATACATTTTTTATGATTTTTTTTAAAGATATGTTTATTTTAAATGATATAATGTATTTTATAGGGTTTTTTGACAATTATTGACAAAGTAAGAATATAGCTCTATAAAAAAATGTTGAACAATTTGATCAGAAATATTTGCATTCATGTTTTATATATATACATAAACATAGATAGACTGATTGTGTGTGTGTGTGTGTGTGTGTGTTTCACATTGGTGTGAATAGACATTAACCATTAATATTTTTGGTCTGTTTTCAGGAAGAGGAAGACTTTAAATTCGTTTCAAATGTGTAAATAAATCAGTATACTAGCATATAAATGTCAACAAAACTATACATACTAAGGTGGTTTTTGTCACTTTTGATCTTTTTTATTGGCATTTTGTCAGGACAACATGAAATACACTTACATCAAACTGATCAACAAACAACAAAATGTCATTGTAAAAGTATTACTTTAAACAAATAATAATAATTTTACTGACTGTCATGTAGCAAGTCCAACAAAACACATGGGCTTAAACACACACAGTCCAAACAGGGTAACAAGACACAGGTGAAAACAATCAAAGAGCTAATCAACAAAGAAACTACAATGGACTACAAGACTAGAACAGTAAACAAGCTATGTGGCACAAAAACAACATTTTTATGCAGTGAATCAAATGAATCAGTGAATTATTTTTGAACTGGTTCACTTACTGTTCAAACAAACTGACTGACCAAAATTAATCCAAACTTCTCAAAATGAATAGAAAAAGACATTCAAGATACTGCATTTGATTATTTTCTCATCTGTAAAGCTGTGTGTGCTTTACAAAGAAAATGTAACAGTTGTTTAATGATTTGTCACACTGTATGTAACTGCTGATTTTGGGGCCCTTTAAAATAAGATACAGTAAAAAAAAAATCTGCATGTTTCATTTTTTTTTTTTTTTTTTTTTTGGGGTTC